AAAAAATCACAACAAATCCAAACACTAAGCAATAAACAGGAAATATTCCCAGTATGTATCACATAAAATGGATTTGTTATCCAATTAATAGTTTGAAAAGATGAAAAATTTGATAACCTTCTTTGGAGAAATTTGTATTTTTATACTCTGATTGCTGGAAATATAAATTAGAACCATCTGTATGGAGGGAACTTTATAATATGTACCAAAATTACAATCCACATATTCTTTGAGTCAGCAATATCCTTTCTGGGAATTTATCCTATAGATACAATGACATGTATGCAAAATTGTGTTTGTGTATATACTATATGTATATAGTACGTATAGTATATAATGTCTATGCATATACTATATATAAATATACCGCAAGTTCTTTCTAGAAGGGAGGGGAGTTGTTGAGACAGGGTCTTGCTACATAGTTCAGGCTGGATTTAAACTCACTATGTAACCTAGGCTGACCTTGAACTCTCAATGATCCTTCTGCCTCAACCTCCTGAGTGCTGAGATTACAGGCATGCGCCACCATGCCTGGCTTCGTAATAGTGGCACAATAGTAGAAAAACATGAAATCCCATTAGAAAATCAAATCAAAACAGTGTATCTGTATGTTAAAAAAACACAATTTAAAATATATTGATATGAACAAGCTAAACATATGTTGTTTTTAAAAAGCAAGAGGCAATTATTTTCAGAGCTGCATACAAATACATCTAGATCGATACAACAGCTGGGATTTGCTTTCTGATTTTTTTTTTTTTTTTTTTTGGTACCAGGGATCAAACTCAGGACCTTGTGATTGTGAGGCAGGCACCTGAACCACTGAGCTAAATCCCCGGCTGCTTTCTGATATTTTGGCAAAAAAATGACAAAAAAAAATGAGGGGAGAGGAGCAGAGGGAAGAAGAAAAACAGATAAAGCATGTGCAGCAAAGTCTTGACAACTGTTGAGTTGGAGTTGATGGGTAAGTGGAAATTTTTTAAACTATTCTCTTTTCCATATGTATGTTTACCTATTTTCTTAATAAAAAGCTGATAAAGCAAGATGTAGAACAGTATGTACAGGATGAATTGTATGGTATATGACTATAGTCAGTAAAGCTGTTATATAAAAAAAAGAATGCTATGTAGAGTTCACTACCTTTGCAAAGATATTAATTTTATATTGCAAACAATAAGGGTAGAAACAAACTAACAAAAAACTAGGGCTGCCTATATCTAGTGAGGTTCACACTGAGGGACAGGATGAAAGTGTTGGCTCACTTCCCTCTAGGTCTTTCTGCTGTCTTCAGAACTCTGCATTATATGTCTGTATTTTCTATTCAAGAATATAACTGAGGAAATTTAAAGTTGATGAGGAAGCATTTCATAGCATTCTAATCATCACAACTCAAATGTTTTAGACCAGTAAATGTAGTGCCACCCCTTGTGAAATGGCTGGAATCAAAGATTCTCAAGTCTGCAACTCCAGAGAACAATGGAATGACTTAGTTCCTACTCTCACAAGAAAATCCGATGCTGCCAGTCACTGGTGTGTTCCCTGGGAGCCTGGGCTGGCTGCATACCCTCTGAAGCAGGCTTGGCCTCAAGGGAATAAATGAAGTCCCTCCATTCACTAAGCTCTACAGAAACATCTAAAATTGTTGGTCAAACCAGTATACAACATGACTACATTTCCAAATAGTGAAAAATAGTCAGGAGTCCTCTCTTGAAGTGACTAATGATACCTGTGAAAAGACCTGCTGGCTCACTCCAGCCACAAGTGTAAGGCCAAAGGCAGCTCTGTGGCAAGTAGGGGAAAGGGCATCTATTGCTCTGTGGAGCAAAGGGTATTACCATGGAACTGACCTTTGAAAGCCCATGAGTACAGCCAGTTATACACACATTAGTCTTACAGCTTGTTTGGCTATTTGGAAAAACACTCTTTAAAGGTTAATGCCAAAAAATAAACCTTCTGTTACAATGAATCTCATGACCAAAGTGGACTTTGAAAAAGCAGTCCCTAAAATACTTGTATCTGATTATCAGCCTCTGATTTAAACTACATCTGAACTAGGAACTTCCAAAAAGTTATGAGCCTGGCACATGTCAGTGTTATGAAATGTGTCTCTTTTGTAACTCCAAAGCTCAAAGGCAGGGCTAGCACCTAACCATTATAAAGAATGCCTTGTATCCAAAACTCCACTATTCATCTTGGCTCCTTATTCACTCTTCTTGAGGGCCCTTCAAAGGGTTTCTAAGTATCTGTAATGATACTTGATCAAAGTGGTGACTATGCAGATGTGCATCTGTGAAAATTCACTGAGTTGTACAATTATGATTTTAGCTTTCTTCTATATGTATGTCATATTTCTATTAAAATTATATACTTCAAAACTCCATTGCTGATCTATTATGTTTTTCTAATATTTCTCCTATGTCTTGTTCCATGCTCCAACTTTCTTTTCTTGTTCTCCTAACACAATTCAGTAAGAGTTGTTCTACTTTATAAGTCTTATAATTCAGAGAAGAGGTCCATTTTCTCAAAAGGCATTTTGCAATGTTTTAAAACATGTTAATAAGGCTTCCTCTGTCACCAACTCCACACCTTCTTGTGCCTGGGGCTCTGGGTGGCCTTGGCTGTAGCAAGCTCTCTGTGCTTTGATAGCCCTGTACAATGCTGCTTGAACTCCATGCCACAAGGCAACACTGTAAAGAAGCTGAAAGCAGAGAGAATATCAAATATTGTAAATGGAAGCATTTTATCTACAATTATTTACAAGGATAGAGCTTTTCCTCACATTTCAAGGGGCATGTGGCAATGATGATATTACAGAGGTTATGGTAGGGGTGGGAATTTTAACATGTTTCCATGGCTCAATAGTTTATCATGTATTATCCTGTGTCCAGTTACAATGCACATCCTTCCCACTCTGTAACGTGTGATTACATAGTAAAGGGCAGGTTTCCTGAGGATGTACACACAGTTTTATAGGAGACCACAGTTAATCACACTGTGAAAAATAATGTGTAAGAATGACACATGGCTTTCCCTAGGTTAAGACCTTACCTCACTCAGTGCACACATCCGAGCAATAGAGCCGATGTTGTTGGTGATGGTGACCAGTGTGGCCCGGGCAAGGTCTTCCTTGCTGATGGACTCTCGTTTTTCTTTACTCATCATGTTGCCAAAGCTATGTTGGAAATATCAGTGAGATTGTTCAAAATCATCCTCAAGCAGGACTCATGCTTCTACCATGGTATTGTGAAAAGCTCCGAATAACTGTTCAAGCTCAAAAGACCTGATTTTTGCTACAATTTATAAGCAGACAGAATTATATAGTATGAATGGCTGGCAGTCCTTCCTTAACAAGGACAAAATAGTATGGCCATTAATGAGAGTGGGGCTTTTAATGCCTGTAGAAATCTGGCTAAGAATGGAACAGGGGAAACGGTTGCAGTTTTCCAGAACCTTCTTTCAAAGTTGCCTTATTTTAAGCACAAACATCAAGAGCAAAATATCTCAGTGCTTCAAGTCTGAGATCTGATATGATAGATACTTGCACCATGCCAGTAGGTTAAAGCTTTTAAAATAACTAAATGAATGGCCTGGGTGGAGAGGCTGGTCTAAGTTTAATCACTACTGCTCCTAGCTACTTAGTCTCTACCTTGATGCTACAGCAGATCCTTGAAGGCCAAATCGTTCATAGTCTCCTCCGTAAATGTCCTTCACCAGCTTATCAACATTGGTGCTGTCGCCTTTAGCTGCCATTTCCAGAGCTTCTTCAAAGGTCTCACAACCAGTCAGCAAGCAACATAGGCCTAGGAATGTTCCACCTCCAAGACTGAAGGAACAATAAGGTTTATTTTTAAATTTTACTTGAAGATATGCCCATCCAAGTCCCCAGCTACATTAAGACTATCAATATTGGTCAAGAAAAACAGAAGAAAAGCAAAGGGGCACTTGAATTAAAGTGGTAGATTGCAAAAGAACTTTATGATAGATCAGATAAGAAAAGAGGGCAGAAACTAAAATTAAACAACAAAGAAAACTTGCCCCTAAATTTGAGAACAAAACTGAAGAAACATTCTCACTGATTGTGAGACCTTCAACTAGCCACTAAGCTAAACACTGCATTCAGTCTTCCACCTGTAAAACAGGGGCAAATCACGTTCTCCTCTATTCGGGTGGTCTCAAAGCAGCAAATAACCAGAGAAATGACGGATATTTTTACCAACACATATAGCTAAATACAAATAACAAGAAAAAAAGTGTGACCATAATTCACAACTATAGAGCCAAACTCTCTGGTGACAAAATGGAACTAGGATGCTGCCAGCAGCAACTAGCCCAAAGGCTGTCTTCTGCTTGACTTTGCCTGATCTCCTGCTTGACTCTGTCATTCCACCTCAGATTTTGAAAACAAAATTATGAATCTATGTCCTGTTGGAGTTTTTTTTCTGGTAAACTTCAGAAAAGGTTACCGATACTTTACTTACCACCCAAGAGTAAAAAGTAGTAACAAAGGTCACAAAAAGATTCCAATGCTTGAACTGTTTTAAAACATTTCAATTGTTTTGGGGAAAATTCCTCTAAAATAGTCTTTTTAAAATAAAATTACAAGTTATAGTAGTTGAGAATCAACTAAATTGTATGTTAATATCAAAGTTACCTGGTAGAAAGAAAAACAGAGTCAGGGTAAAGCTATCACTAGAAGGAAAAGGAGCTCTGATTCCTAAACCTGAACACAGGTTTGACCTTTTGTTTACCAAGTGGAAGAATAAACATAAGAAAGTTGCTTATATAAATTAGTTCTGAAATCCCAAAGAACAACTGGCTCTGAGGACCCAATTTGCTTTTGGGTATTGGCTTTTAGTTCTAAGAAAAACATTAAGTTGAGATTAAGGTTATTTTTAACTAAATTTATAAATAAGAAAATTAAGGGTAGATGATGTTTATTGCCAGTAAAGCTTAACAAGGAAGTATTAGATTATAGATGGGCATGTATATAGTTCTTTAACTCATAACAAAAGTAGGTAATAGTTTTAAACCATATTTCTTATTCAAAAATATCCTGGGGCTGAGGGTATACCTCATTGTTAGATTATTTGCCTAGTATGTTCAAAGCTCTGGATTTGATTGCCAACAAAGTGAAAACAAAACAATGCTTCTTGACTGAAATTATGGGTTCCTGGAAAATTATGTAGCTAGCCATGGTCAGTAGCAGTTACCTAAATTGTGGGTGCAGGGGCATAAGAAAACAAAGAACTCTGTATAAATTTTTACAGTGACAAATCAGTCATGCTAGGAAGTCTGGATTTGTTCTAATAAAGTTATCTGCATTTATATTTAATATGGTATATTATGCTATCCCACAAAGATAAATATGGGTTGTGTGTGTGCTACTAGAGACCAGTGCCTGCCCTATTCCACACAAACACTCTACCACTGAGTTACATCCTCCCTGCTGTGTTTTAATTAATGGAAATATCTTAGGGTTTGTTTGCCATCTAGATTTGTTGTGTTTTCTCCTTTTTATATTTTTTAAAAGAAGTCTTTGCTTACTTTTCTAGCTTCTCAGTACCTTTTACTATTCCTAATAATCTTTCTTTTTTTTTTTTGGCACTGGGGATCGAACTTTGGTCCTTGCGCTTTCGAGGCAGGTGACGGAACCACTGAGCTAAATCCCCCGCCCTCTAATAATCTTTATTTGAACAACAAGGATTCATCTTAAAGTATTCAACAACCTACTCGAAAGGCAGGCAACTGAAGATACTGGCTGACTTAGAAAGAAGGTAACTCATCAACTGATGTGCTGGTGTAGTGAAAAGGGGCAAGTACGACTGGAAAATGACAGGTGACTCCAGATAAAGAGCTGAATGGGGAAAGCAAGCATGCATTAGCACAGCTGAGACAACTGCAAATAGGAGGGAAGAATGCAAGGTCATAGAAGAACCAAGAGTCTCCTAGCACTTTTATTAATATCCTCAACTTGTAAACCATTATTTAATCAAATGAGTGCCTTGCTACAATCAGACACAACTGTTTGTTTTGCCAGCTACAGTAAAACCTTCAGTATGTCAGAGACAAAAAAATGTTTGTAGAAAAAATCAGAGAATTATCATTACTCATCATATTAAAATATTTTAGAAAGTAGAAGAAATCTTCAGTTACTCATTTTCATAATTGGTGAGAATTGCAGAACATTGATCACTGATGGTCATGCCCTTAAAATGAATTCCAAATGAGCAGATGAGATGTACTGCTACTTTTATTAAAGATTTTTACATTCTTCTTTTAAAAGACTACACATTCTACCAATCTCAACTGTGAGGTATTATTTTTTCCAGTAGCTTCCATACTAAAATTAGGATGATGCCATCAGGAAAAAAAAATGTTGGTATCCAATATGTGATACAATAAAATTACACAAAAGCAGATCTTTTAAAATAATGTTTAAAAGAAGTCTGATATTCTGTAATGACATGATGGGAAAATATGGTATAATACAGTAACAAAAACTTGGAGTTATAACTATAAGTTCAAAACATAAAGCTTAAACCTTAAACATAAAGCTTAAAATGATTCCCAAAGCGTGTTTTACACATTGATGTTCACTCTTAACCACAGCAGTTTATAACTTAGGTTTTTAAACTTGGACCAAAAGAAATCTTTGGCAGAATAATTCTGGTTAAACAAAGATCAGGGGCTCCACAGACTTGAGGTTTCCTTCCCGTCTACTGCCTGGGGATGCCCCTGAGAGGCACATATTACCCTTCAGACTCCTGAGGCATGTTTTGATATCCACTATTTGAAGAAAGAGCTTACAAGGAAGCTTGGGCACCCAGACAGGATTTGTTCATGATTGCAGGATACTGGTCATTAATGAGCATTTAGCAATAACTAGAATTTACGAGTATTATTACCTCTGTAAAAGAAGCCAAACATTGCAATAGCTTCTTAGCAGTTATTTAAGAGGATCCAGATCCCTACAGTTTCCATGTTTGAGAATGTACCTGTGTTGTATTCATCAGTAAAACTGTAAATATCTCTAATTGTGGAACATGTTTAGCTTGTTGTTCCTTGGGACTAGCTTTAACAATTCAATTACTCTTTGTGGGAGGAAGTCTGAAATTTCTTAAAAGTTTTACCTTTATAAGATCAGTCTTTAAGATAAAACCAGCTCAGCTGAAATATTCCTGTCTGTGATACTCCTGACAGTTCTAAATGGACATGGGGTCAGTTTTGTCTGAGCATTTGAGAAAGTACATAAGCTTCTGTATTCTCAATGAGAAAATGTATGCCTAGTAGTAATTAACTGACAAAACACAGCCTATACTCTGAATCTGAGCAGGCTTCAGTTTGTGTGTGTGTGTGTGCATGTGCAACACGTGTAAAACAAGGTTTTTCAACAGCAGCACTACTGACATTTGGAGCTTGATAATTTGTTGTTGTTGGAGGAGTTGCCCTGCATATTGTACTATTTTAGCAGTATCCCCGACTTCAACCTACTAGATGCCAGTAGCAACCCACCACCAGTGGTGACAACCAAAAAATATCTCCAGACATTGTCTAATATCTCCTGGGGAACTCATCTTCCCTCCTCAATGGGGAAACGATTGATTTATGGATCCATCATAAGCCATGAAAAACACAGAAAAGCTGAGTTCACCTCCTAATGGGGAGTAGTACTACAAAATTTCAGTTCTAGAAAAGCTATAGGAACCATCCAGACAACAGCATTCATGGCAGAAATGAGGATAATGAAATGCAGAGAAATAACATGATATCTATCAAAAACAATGGTTTCAATATCATGTCCCAAGCACAGACTATATGGCACTAGTTCCTTAAGCTATTCCTTTAAAAATGAGTTGTGTGAACTGGAAACTGGATAAAGAAGATGTGGTTTTTTTAGAAAATGAAGTATTACTTAGCCATAAAGAATGGAAAACTAGTCATTTATAGCTAAATGGATGCATATCAAGGCCATAGTCTTAAGTGAAATAAATAGGACACTCATGTGTAAATACCAAATAGTTTCTCTAGTGTGAGAAACTGATAGTGTAAACAAGGGTTAAAGTGATCAAAATGAATAACTGATAATTTGAAATAGGAAAAAAGGTACAAAGACATAGGGGTGAAGAGAGGGGAAGGGGAAAGGAAAGAAGGGAAAGGAAGAACTATGAGAAAAGAAAAAAAATGGAAATGATGTCTACGTAAATAGGGAAGGGTGGAGTGGGTGAAGGGCACACAGGTAATGGAGAAAAAATAAGAACCAAGATACATCATGTACAGGTACAAGCACCCAATGATAAATGTAAACGAATTGTATACCTAAAATGTACCAATAAAAGAACTTAAGAAAAAAGAATGAGTTGTGTGGTCCAATAAGTTAGAGAAATGTCTTAGTAAGGAAAACTTGACTAATTTTGTTTACACTATGGTTTCTCAAAGATATTTGTCAACAGATCCTCTTCTCATGTTGAATCCACATTAACAGAAAGCTGAGCCCATTTGCCCTCATATGGGCCTTCAGGTATGTGTACTAAAAATCAAAAGTATTCGGACAAACTGTAGTCATAGGACTGTTCTCCTGTCTACGGCATCCCCAAATTCCCTATGAACTAGGCTTACTATTCTAGTTTTCAGCTGAAGCATTTACATGAAGGGAAAATGCATTCTTTGTAAACCTTGTTTTATTTGATGTTTGGAATGATATATTAATTCAAACAATTCATCTTGTGCTAGGGACCAATGAGATTTTAAAAAAAGGTTTCTCCAAAGCCTTCTTTGACCATGCCAAGCACACTTCTATCTGGCTTCTATTGGACTTATTGTCCTTACCAGTCCATTGGCACTTAATACATACCACCCTGTTGGTAAACTTCTAATGTGCAGAACCCTTCTTCCCTCATCCTGCTCATAATTTACAGAAAGGCAAAGACTATGTCTTATTAACTTTTATCTTACTCTTTTAAAATATCATCCAATAAATCCTTTTTGGTTTGTGGAGGCCAAGATTTTTTTTTAAAATAAATTCAATGTAGTGTTTTACTATACAATCGTCATCAAGGAAGAGGCCTGGGTTTAAGCACAAAGAGGTTCACCTAGCAGAAAATATGTTTACCTGGTCCCTGTAACTCTTTTATAGTTGTCCTTGGAATACACTGCTAAAATGCTGACACCTGATCCCATGTTAACCAGCAACATAGGGTATGGGTTATCAAGGCAGTATGGCTTTTTTTGACACAATTCAGGATTTGTGGGATTTTCAAAATAGTAACATTCCGGTTTGCCATTGAAGCCGATGGAGTCGACATAAAGGAGACCCTGAATCAGACAGTCCAGTTCATCCAGTTTATGGAGCTGCAGGTCAGCAATCTGAAAGAGAACAAAACCTTGTGAGATGCTGAGACCACCTTGGAGGAAGCCTCAGAGGCCTTAGCTGGACTTAATATTGGCTCATTCACTTCAAAAACATGAAAACATCCTTGAAAAATCAGGTTGTAAAATCTTGCTGATAATCTGTCAATCCCATGGAAAAGTAGCTGTGCTACAGGAACTTGCCTGGTTGTTGGAATAGGATCCTTTAGTAGGTGTAGTGGGTTGAATGGTGGCCCCATCCATGTCGTAATTCTTAGAACCTGAGAATGTGATCTTATTTGGAAAAAGTGTCTTTGCAGATCTTATTAAGATCTTGAAGAAGCCATCCTAGATCCTCAGGGTGGACACTAACTCTAATGACAAGAATCTTTACAAAAGATACACAAGAAAGATAGAAAGACACAGAGGAGAAGACACAGAAGACACGTGAAGATTAAGGCAGAGATTGGAGTGCTGCACCATAGGCCAAGGGATGCCATCAACCACTGGAGCTGGAAAAGGCAAGAGAGGGAATCTCTCCAGAGTATCAGAAGTTACAATTCTTTGATTTTAAACTATGGTGTTGAGAACTATGAGTGAATATATTTTTGTTATTTTAAGCCAAGTTTGTGGTAATTTGTTATAGCAGTTGCATGCTGCTAATACAGCATGCTGCAAAGAAAGATCTTTCTCACAGGGTGAGCAGAGTGAGAATATTCAGAAAGCAATGAAAATCTATACTTCCTCAACAGAGCATAGGGTACCAAAGGCCTGTGAACTGGAGAGAATCTTTGAGCCCACAGAGCATAACTACCTTTTCCCCAAGGTAGGACTCTAGAGTTAGACAGATCTGGCTTCAAATCGTAGCTCTAAAACTTACTTACCTGAAGGATTCAAGGTGAGTTACTTAACTTCTCAAACCTCAGTTACTCATCTGTAAAATGGGAATAATAATATCCTCTGCATAATATTGCAGTGAAGATTACAGATTACGTACTAATAATATATGGGAAGTGTTTGCACAGGGCTTCACATGTACAAAGGGCTTACTAGTGGGGGTGGCCTCAGAGTGTCTTTAGAGTCTCTTATTAGATAAAAACTTCCACTCTCCTATGTACAGGGAAAAAAAAAAAAAAGGAAATGAATTTGCTTTAAGCTGGCCTTAGAGGACAAAAACCACTCTGCATCCTCAAAAGTTTACTCCATGATCCTTAAGAATATACCACTGGCCCAGAAGTCTATGTTGATAATCATTTTCTATGGACCAAGAGAAAAAAAAAAACTACAACAACAACAAACTAAACTAAACTAAATATCACCAACATGCAACTCAACCAATAAAAGAAGATATCATGTAATTTCTCAGTAAAATCTTGTTAAGTTGGCACTACTAACCTTATTCTGTGGTTCAAGTTTATAGAGCTTAAATAACTCTCCCTAAGTGACACAACTAGTAAATATCTCCCAGTGATTCCCTATTCTGTTGTCTTCATTGCCACAGTGGGTATTGTTTCTGGGATCTGGAACAATTTATACAAATACTAGACTTAGATATTTTACCAAAAAAACATCTAGAAGAAAACTTTTGACTTCATGCCGTTCAACTGAATTTCCTATTTAACAAAACTGACTAAAAATACAGGCAAAGCAAATTAGTTAGAATAGGTAACAGCCAGGTGGTAGAAGTATTCATGATACATGGAAATAAATACTCTAAATGACTCTTGGTGATAGAATAAATGTATTGTATGAATGGCTTCAAATATTTCATTTTTTATCTAGTGAACCCTTTGGATAAAATGCATATAAGTACATATATTTTAAGAGGGCAATGCTCTAGGTATAAAAATAATTAGAGACCTGAAAGACTATCAGACATAGGAGGCTAAATACTACCTCTTCAATCCCCTTTGATTCCACAGTGTTCATTGCACTTACAACATTCTTCACAACTGGCTTGTTTTCCAGTTCATCAGGTGCATATCAGTACCATGCTCAAACACCTACCCCCTAATCACTGCTTCATAAATATTTATTAAATACAACAGGGAAAGTTATCACTTCATGGATCATCCAAGTTGAAAAGTAGAGATTTCATCAGCCAGTCCTGGGACCATAGGTTAACCTGCTTAAAAATTAATCAGAGGTTCATCAACAATATTGACATCCAAGCCCAGGGTCCAATCATAAACATCAACAGAGACACAGTCTGTCCATCTGAGAAGCCTAAATCTACACTGTTGAAAAAGCAAAACCTGTCAAGGCAAATAAACTAAGCACATACAACTTTGATCTGAAAGGAAACACTGTTGTCTCATCTTTCACCTCAAAATTATTTGCAAATAAAGTGGTAGTAGCAAACAAATATCTCTTCTACACAATTTACTGAGGGATGGATATTTCTGAAGCCCAAGGTCATGAAGCCCCCTTTGTTTAAAGTGGAAACAAAGACATTGATCACTTTCATGGAGACCTATAAGAAAAAGAACAGGTTCCCAAGTATGGATAATGAGTCAAATTGCCACCTGGATTTTTAAATAGGCCATGTGAAATTCAAAACAAGTTGAGAATTAATTGCCAGACTTTGTAGTTTGTTAATAAACCTGAATTAACTTTGTGGATATCTTAAAGCAGGGTGTAAATATCCCAGCTAAGGAGAAACACTATCTTTGGTATGAGTTTGGTTTTTTGTTGTTGTTTTTGTGAGGTTTTTTTTTTGTATCAGAGTTCACAAATAGAAATGCCTAAATAAGACAATAAGAAAACATAGAGAAGTGAAGCCTTTGATTAGCATGTAAACAAAGGAATGATGGGAAGGAACTATGTCAAAAAGACAACCTGCACATATTCACAATTCATCTGTAGCTCATTGTTGCCATGTGGTAATAAGGCCCCACTCTTGTCAGACAATCCTAGTTTTCAAGATCTGGATTTCAGGAGTCAGAAATCCAGATTTTTATGTGAAATCTTTTAATTTTTAAAATGTTGACAGCAATTTGATAACTTTTACTTACATACTGAAGGTCAAAATACGTGTTTTATTCCATATTACCAATTTTATATATAGTTGATAAATTTTGGATATTGTCTGTCACTTAAAGGTCCCCGTGTTAGGAGTATAGTCCCTAGTGTGGAGATACAGGAGTTGACATAAATGTTCAGAGGTCCTTAGATATTGGCAGTGCTGCCTTCAGAAGCATACGCTGGTCTCCTGGAATGAGTTCCTATGAGAGTGAAATGTTATATGACCCTGACCCCTGAGTCTCTCTCATAATTTGAGATGTGATGGCCCTCTGCACTTGTACCTAGTTATCTGCCAAAGGAGCCTCTCTAGGACTGCCACCTTGCTGTTTGACTTTCAGCTTTTAAAACTGTGAGCGAAATAAACTTTTCATATGAAGTTGGGCAGCTTACAATGGTCAATCTTGATTATCAACTTGATCAGCTTGAGAGATCCCTAGAAGGTTAGTTAAGCACATTTCTGGGTAGGTCATGGGAATATGGCCTAGGCACTATGTTTGGTCTCTGGCTTCTTCTTCTCTGACTCTTCCTTGCTCCCTGTGCTTCCCAGATGTCATAAATTGAGGAGATTTTCCTCATGGTTCCTTTATGCTACAATATTTATAACCTGCAGCCAGCTGACCATGGAGTAAAATCTCTGAAACTGTGAGCCAAAATAAACTCTTCTTCCCTTAAATTGTTTTTGTCAGGTATTTAATCACAGTGGTGAAAATCTGACTACAGAAAACTGGTACCTAGAGTGGGGTTGTTGCTGTAACTATACCTAACCATGTGGTTCAGAAGCCTTTGAAACTGGTTTGCAGGAAGAGTTTGGAAAGGTTTGGAAATGTGGGCTAGTGAAGGTCTAGAAGACTGCAAGCAGAGATTTCTAGGTTCTTCTGGTGGAGGCTCAGAAGACCAGAGGGCTGATAGGAATACAGACGAGGAAGACTACATGAGGTTTCAGGTGGGAATGAGGACTCTACTGGGAATTTTCTAGAGGACATGTGTGTTACATTATATACAAGATTCTGTCTACATTTTGCCCATGCCCTAAAACTTTGTGTGAAGCTCAGTTTAAGAGTGACTGATTAATTGCTCTGGTGGAGGAAATCTCAAGGAAGCCAATGTTCAGGCAGTGGCATAGGTACTGCTGGCTGTTTTTAGCTAGATTTATACTTAGAATCAGGAGCAAAAAGCAGAGCACAAAGATGAAACAAACTTGCAGTCTGACCTGAAAAGAAGTTCTTGTAAAGTTGGGGCCAAGGAAAATGTGGTTGCTGAACAGACGAGCACTATTCAAAAGAAAGCAAGTGCTTTGCACCAGGACAGCACCAAAGATGACTTGAGAGCAGCACAGGAATCAGCAAGACCCCATCCATTGAAGGCTCAGGGTCAAAAATATAAACCTTTCATTTGAGAAGAGAACCTCCAATCACTTCTTGGCCTTTTGGCTAAGATCAAGTGAGAAGAGAACCTCTGGCCTCCCTATTGCAGAAGGACCACTAAGGGAATTAGTTCCCTGGGATACATTTCATCACGCTCAGTTATCCAGCATTCAGAAGCCACTACAGCCACAATGCAAGGAGGCCTAGCCGCTTCTTAAATAGTCAGTAGATCCTGGCATTCTCCCTGTGACACTGGTTTCATAGGCATGCAGAATGCAAGTGTTACAGGGTCTCAGATTTTAATGGAAGGCCTGGGTGATCAGGCAGTGTGTCACAGGGTTAAAGTCCCCGCCAGAGGCCCCTGAAAGAGCAGTGCATGAAGCTATGAAGATAGATCCAAAGCTCCAGTAGAGATTCCAGGAAATCAGAGATGCTAAGAAAATGGAATCCCTATCCAGGATAGCTGCAGATAGCAAGCATAGCCAGCCCAAGACAGAGGCCATGTGGGCTGCAATTGGCCATAGGAACAGGGCTGCCCAGGCCCTTTGGGGTTCACATCATCTAACACATGCCCTGGATGGTGAACATGGAGCTAAAGGATTTAATGTTTGCCTTTCTGGGTTTCAGTAT